TAATTATATATATAATTATATGTATATGATTATAAATTGACTTTCTTCTCGGGTAAAAAATTGAATTAATCCATTTCTGATTAAAATATATGTAGATAAAGATTTATATAGATCAAACTTTTACAAATTATACGTTTTTGACTGCCTACCAAGAATTCTTGTCAAATAAGAACAGTTGATTTTCAAAAATTGAGAAATATAAGTTTACAAGATTTAAAGAAGAATAACGAAAATTATTCAACAAAAAGATGCTTCGACTAAAAATTTAGATTGTCGTTAAAGTTTTTGAATATTCTTTTTTTATTTTGTTAAGAAATATATTATTAAAATACACACACGTCACACACACATATATATATGAAATGGATTAATTATACTATCAAATATATGTGGTATATGTATTTTTTCCGCTGTAGATATCGATGAAAATTGAAATCTTCGCAGAAAGTACATGGAACGGTCCAGAAATAGAGAATGTAAGAGTCCACATAGAAGCGTCTGGAAAGTAACAGGCAAAAATGCGCATTCATTTGCGACAGCTCTGTTGAATGACGCGAGAGAATTACGTTTTCTAGATCTATCTATTCGTACGCGACGAAACACTCATGCGTTTATATAATTCTACATAAATATACTATGTGTAGATGTATTATGTAAATTATTATTATAAAATATTGAAGTCAGATTGCAAATCAGATGAAAACGAGTGCGTTGTTTCGTGATTATCAAATGCGTTATCGTATCACGACTGAAAATCGAACTGTCAATGTGCTACAACGATACACATTGCATCTCCAACGAAGACTTGATGCATTTTTCGAATTTCTCGTAAAAGCAACACGAGAGAATCTTATTTTGCACGATATGGAAAATGATTATATAGAGAATTTTGTAATTTTTTGCGAATCTAAAGTTGACGTAATATAATTTTAAAGAGAATTACAATTGATTGTACATACGCTATGATATTAACATTTATTTTTTTTTTGTATTAATGTTTTGTTATTCATAAATTAGCAAGTCTAATATGTTTGAGAAAATAAGGATGGTCATCATTCACATAATTGTTGCCGAGTCACTTACTGATGCCATGATCATTACAACGCAAATTTGACGATGGCCAATTCTTCTCGAACACGTCGATAGATGAATCATATCAAATATAAAAAGTAATCCCGTGCTGTTCCAGGAAATAATCAGCCTGATAAATATAAATATATGTACATAGATAAGTATATAAATCCATCTGATATTAATATAGACACATATATATACACAAAAGATATATTAAAAATCGTGGTGAAGATTTTGAAAATCGATTTTCTTGAAAATAAAGTCTTGTATGAAAAAATTTTATTGAACATTTTTGACTTACAATTAGGAACAAAATGGAGGTGATTCTTCGTGCAAATGCAAGTCCAAAATGTTGAATACAATTTTTTCATATAGGACTTTGTCTTAATTTTTAATTAAATATTTCTAGAACAGACGTACCACCCTCTGATAAGAGGTACGGATTGGAATGTGACATATATATCTCTTTCTAATGTTCTATCTATTTAAATCCACTGGATTATTACGGGTGATATAATTTAAAACAATTATAGTTTATTCACACATACAGTTAACTCCTGTTAACTATAGAACTATAGACAGTTTGCGACGAATTTTCGCGACGAAGTTACGCAACGATGTATAACATTCCTGGTATTTTTTATTGCATACGATATCTGTACGTGCAGAAGCTTGTATAAATTTTCAAGGAGAGAACTTTGTTTTTTTAAAGAATTAAAGCTATTATTGTGTTTGAATTGATGATAAAAGAGTTAGAAGAATAAATATACAACTCAAAGTTTGTACAGAAGTTTCAATTACACCTTGTATGTGTTTATATACTATTCTCGATCAATCGATTATATTATGTAATACGTATAATTAAAAAATTTGTCTAATTATCTAATTTATTTTTAATGTGTTTTCTAGAATCTGCAGAAATTGAGAGAGTATTCTGATAATTAGATCAAATATTACACGCGATAGGTATCATAATATAGTTTGAGAAAATAATGATTTAGCGCTGCTTTTTTATACATAGTGGAAATATATAAAAGCATTACCCTATCAAATAAAATGTTAACTCGATAATATTTACTCTGATAAACGCTCATTTAAGATGAGATCAGCTCGTTTTTGAGCGCAATTTTCTAATGGAATTGATGTTGATCAGTATACATGCTTCCAGAATATACACCTGCATACCTGATGCAATATTATAAATTGGAATGTTTTCCGTACGGATACATCAGGGATGGATGAATGGATATCAATATTCGGAAATTTCAGGATTTGTCGATCGACATAAATGATTGCACAGCAGAAATCTTATTTGGCACCATGTAAGTGAGACTTTTACATAAAAATATATCTCAAGAATTAATTTTATAATTTAATACTTGGAACTTATTAATGTTATTGATCAATATAAATATCTTTGGACGAAATACTTATGGAAAATATTTTTAATATAAATAAGCGACCTCGTGACTGTAAATAGTACATTGCCGCAGTGTATTCTTTTACGAATCACTCCGTAAAATAATGTACAAATAAAGAATATTTTATCGCGAAATTATTTTATCTCATGTCTTTCGAAATATGTATCGTCAACTTGAGATACGTCCTAACATGTTTCTCCTTATCGAATAAAAATTTCCAACTTGAAATTTTCAGTCTCGCTTTTATGAAACTTGAATCTTTGATCGATATTTGATCAAGAAAGTCGACAACAAAAATGGGATTGGAAAACTTTGGATATATGTTACAAGTAATGCATTTATGTGATAATCATATAGATATTATATAATATGTAACTCTTAAAGAGAATGTGGATACATTCGTAATATTATAATTTATGCTAATGACTACATTAACAAATAATACTGATTACACGCACACATACATTTATCGATATCTCTCTTTTTAGGAAATTGCGTATTTTATACGTACTGTAGTTTTTTTTTTTTTTTTTTTTTTTTTTTTTATGAGATAGGAAGATTATATTGCATTTAATTAATGCTTGTTTTCAAATTTTTCTCTCTCCTTCTCTCTGTTGCTATGTATTAATTATTTAATACGTAGTATAAGCATTTTAATTAAATTATTTAATATAAATATTTCAATTAAATTATTTAATATAAATATAAATATTTTCACTAATAATAATAGTCTGTCAATAGGAATAATAGTCTGTCAAATATCTAGTTTCGGATGATAAAAAAAATAATTTAAGAAATTAAAGATCGATCAATCGTATTTAGTTTCATATGAATCTTCGCAATCGTGTTATCTGTGGTATTTGATATGCACGTACGTCCCTGCATCTACCCCGCATTACTCGATAGCAAGAAGCATTCGCGTATAGGTTTTAGCCGCTTAGTCGGTCTCTCGCGTTATAAACCTTTGCATCCAATCTTCTAACGGCGACGAAATGAGATTAACGCTCTATCTGACGTGCTCGACCACTTTGCTGCTATTACCTTCCGTTTTTGTAAACTCTGAGAGGCATTTTTACATTGATGTCTTTGTCAAAGTGATAATGGACATTCGAAAATTTTATTCCGCGGCAACTGTCGTCTTCGCTCATCCTGGAGACGAATATGGCGACTACGGCGGTCAGTTCGGAGTATAATTTAAACATGGCACAGTATTATGATTTCGATTTTCCCTAAATTCTAGCGAAATTAAAAAAAAAGAATGACATCGCGAAAGCAATTTTAAGTTTCGTTTAAGCAAAATTAGGATTATTTTATATCGTGAATTCTCGCATAATTCTCTTATACCGAGCTTGTCAAATTGAATTTGCAAAATCTTTGCTTGTAGATTTGAGCATTACCCATCTAGTGCATACGTGTTCCCGTATGCTGGGCCGACACTACGTGGTAACTCTGGACGTGCACTATGAAAACAAGTTTTCGATTTAATTAATTGATATTAAACAAATTCAGGATTTACCAATTTCTTCGAGATTCGGAAGCAGTAACTATGTGGGCAGTTTGTATGAGAAAGTGGTGGAAGAACTCACGCATTCCCTCAACTTCAGTTTGGATATAGTATCAGAATTGGATGAACACGGCATGTGGAATCCGAAAAATCACTCTTGGTCTGGAGTAATGAATGAGATCGTGTCAGGTCGCGCGGATTTCGCTATCGCCGATATGTCGATGACGAGTTTCCGAGTGCGTTACGTCGATTTTACTCTACCCCTGATAATATCTAAGAACAGCCTGTTCATCAGGGAACCCGGAGTGTGCGGCGTCAAGTGGCTCGGTTATTTTCAGGTAATTGTGATTAATAGAATTGATTGACATAAGATCATCTTGGTTCGCTTTCATTTCGTTATCGGCATCAGTGTGTCAAAAGTATATATAATATATATTATAAAATATTCTAAATTCTCTAAATTAATAATTTCTCATGCAATTGTTCAACAGACGTTCGGTTTGCGCATTTGGGTTGCAATTGTCATGTTAATAGCGGTTACACCGCTTCTGCTGTCCTTCATGAAAACGTGTCTCGAATCTCGAAACACGATGGATTTGCTTTCCGATAATTTTCTCTGCATTTGGGGTATATTTTGTCAGCAAGCACTTATAGGTAAAGACTTTTATACTGTTAAAAAATTAGAATTTATACAAAGCAACCTTAATATTTCATTAGGGTTGCTTTGTATAAATTCTAATTTTTGTATTTCACCCATCCCCATCAAATATTTATAAAATATCTCAAGAGAAAGACAGCGAGAGAAAAAAAGAGAAATCTTTTACTTAAATTTTTTAATTTAAAAAATTGGATTAAATTTAGAAATTAAAAATTAAGTGACTTTTTAGATGCACTTTTATTCGAAATTCTTTCTAATTTAATTTTTTTCTTCACAGCATTTCCAAGATATTCGTCGTTACGCCTCGCGTATTTTACGATATTTTTAACGGCGGTACTGATAACGGCTCATTACTCAGCGGCGTTGGTGTGCTTCTTAACGTCTTGCATTCGCGTTCTTCCCTTTCGTACGATAGACGAATTCGTCGCCGATGGTACCTATCAATTAATAATTCAACGGGGCGGTGCCGACTACGACATAATCGCCGTAAGTTCATCCAATTCATCTCAAGTTTTCTAATTTTCATTTCTGATGCTTCTTTATTTATAAGCGATCGAATAAATATAAAAAAAATAATGCCAAATAATTGCGTACAATGCATTTCCGATAATATAGAATTACAAATTACGATCCGATATCTGTCATGATCTTGTTAGCGTTTAAGCATGTCTGTATGATTTATGTATCACGAGATGTTTTTGTGCGATAGTATCAATCAATGTACGATGCGTCGAAGAAAACTTTCTCTACGAAACTGATGAGATTAATGAAGAAGGAATCGGAACTGCCGGAGAATATAGTCGATGGTTTTGTGCAAGTACGATCGACATTTTGCAACGATATTACACAATTTTTTTTTCCAATAAAATTAATTAATTATTTTGGATGATATAATTAATTACTAATTATTTTTTTAAATATACGATATCTATGCTTGCTTTTTTTTTAAAAGATTTTTTATATATAATTTATTATCTATATATTATATTTGCCTAGATATGTAAGGAGAAAAAGGTTGCTTACATGATATTGAACATTTTGAAGAAAAGCGTCGAAATGAAAATTCCTTGTAAATTGTCTAGCGTTAGCACTGAGAGGATAGACAACTTAGGAATGGTCCTGTCCAAAGGCAATCCATACACGGCCGTGATAAATTACCAGTAAATATCTAGTCTAATGCAATTTTTCCATTCACTGTTCTTCTCCCAATTATAAAAGTTTCGTATGTTCTACAGTATACAGAAATTTTTGGATAATGGCATAATGATGCGTTTAAGGAATACGAGATTCTTAACGCATTCGACCGAAAGCAAGGCTTTCATACCGGTTTACATGGTCAATGTAATCCCAATTTTGGCGATTCTCTGCGGAGGCATTATTTTGAGCGTCGCTGTACTAATTATGGAGAAAATTTATTATCGATACAAGAAAAAGAAACTTCAATCTCGGATCTTCTATCGTTCGAAAAAACAACTGTTTCTCAAAGGGCAATAATCTCACTTCAAACATAATATACAATTTTATTTGATGTAAATTTTTTATTTATTTAATTTTTTACTTAAAGGAATATCTTTATATTAGTGAAAAATAGATATTATTATATATATTATTACTATAGAAATACTATTTTCCATG